TATTGTTTCTATTTATTTGTTGACCAGGTACTTTGATACGTTATAATTAGGTATATTATAATATTCGGAACCACCTTTATTCTAGATTATACTGATAAAAACACTATTACTTAGTGTTTTACATGTTGTATCTAACATTAGAGGTAATGCAGCGCTGTAACAAATGAAAATTTAATGTCTTTTTCTAGGAAAACTTCCTACATACCAATAATTACTGCCTACAGAATGAAGGTAGTATATAAATATAATAGATAAAAATATATCGTATTTGTTGCGACTTCGAAACATTATTAATTGTTTAACAAGAATTGGATTTAAAGCCGACATAAACGTGCAGCCATTATTTCTAACTCTTGTTTATTACATTGCACTTTGTAATTTACTGTTTAAAGCAGGGTCGGCTTGATACATATTTTAAAAATCGAGTACTTAAATTTCTATAATAATTTGAAAGATATCATTATTTTGCTACCCTCTATCTACGAAGATTTATTGTGATGGTGGTAATTACCCTTCCCTGGGTTTGTGGATTTGTGTAAGGTTCAAATTCACATTATAAATAAAAAGATAGGATCTCTAACACATGCGCATAAATTACCCCTCCTGGATATGCCACTGCCCCATTTATAAGCACGAAAATTATTCTAAAATATCTCTGTGAATGTTGAAAATATAGCTATATAAATCTCTCAAGGAGACTGATACTATCTCTCCTTTGGATTTTTTTATTTTATAATTCGGGTGACGTTAAAATGGTGGTTCCCACCTTATCGAGACTGAGGCCCACAAGGGTAAACTCGTAGCCTAACAGAAACGACAAATAATTTAACTTGGAACGAAAGACCGAAAGCCGATAGTAATATTAGGACATTCAATTTTTTGATTTGTAAAGCATTGGCATTAATTAGTTTTAACCATGTGATGATTTTCACAAGCCTTGATTTTTAAAACCATTCTATATCGCCTTTTAATAGGGTTTACAAACATGTTTGAGCAATTTATCACATAAAAACCTCTTAAGTCTGCTCATGTAAAATATTTGGGCTCCTTACTTCGCCTATTTATATTCTATTAATAAAGGACAGAAGTATGAGTATTGCAACTATGTTAAAAGAAATAAATTGGCTTTCAATTCAGAATTATGTTCAGTACATGACTGATATTTATTTATAAAATAAAAATGACATAGTAGGTACCATCGCATCAGATCTATTAGAAAAAAATCAATATAATTCGCAATATCACAACTATAACAAGAAGCCAATTTGACTTTCACGTACGGCAAGCCATCACTAAAAGTTCCCAAAATACAATTTTTATTAAAGGTTTAAAACGTTTAATAGTCTGCCTACAGAAATTAAAAAAAAAACAACAATAAATGTATTCAAAAGTAACCTCAAACAGTACATGATAAATAAACAGAATGGATATACTTTCTTTAAACCTGCCCTTTTTAAGTATTTCCCTTAATTTATTGTTATTTTACTCCTCGCTTTACCCGCATTTATTATAAATTATTTCTGTTTTGAAATCATGTACTTTATTTTAAAAAATTACTTGATGTTATATTTACACTACTTACTATGTTTAAATTATTAAAAGTTTTGCGACGATAGGTTATAGCAACTCATAGCCACAAAACTATTTTTGTGTTAAAGTAGATCCATAGAGAGCAATGTAATTTACAAAGGCCTTCTTTCAACATACAAATAAATAACAACTTTATAATTAAAATAAAAAACAACAAAATACCTTGGTACCAAGGTTAGAAGATTCATTTTTAAATTTTATTTATTGAGGAAATTTATGACTAGAAGTTTACTAATTATTATTTACAATTCGCTGGTTGAATATGTAATCCAAAATCGTATAATAAAAATTTTCTACAAAAAACCAGCATTATATCCTACCTCTCTTTTATATAATAAAAAAGAACATTAAATTATTCGTCTTGCTGTACCTTTATTTATGGTAAGCCTGAATTGAGATACACTACAAATTATTTGCAATAAATATCAAAAGAAGTATACATTTTTAAATAATTTGACATTTAAGAGCCATTCACACATCACAGTTGACATCTTGACAGGCACAGCCAAGCATTATTCTGATTTTTTCCAAATTAAACAGCCGGTTACTTATTCTATGGGGTTGCGACAGAGAACCAGTAAATTTGATGAAGGTATTTTTGTGGCTAGGGGCGAAATAGTAGTACGCTTAAGTTAGCAAAAGTAATTTTCAAGAAATTGCTTATATATTTTTCATAAATTGGCAGGCTTGGCTACTAATTTCGAATAAAAATAGCCTCCAAAATGGCTATGGTTGCAAGTATGAAGGTCGCAATCCACCTTAGAAATTTCACTTTTACTATCAACAGATTTTGTTTGACAGATCGTTAGAGAATGTTTGCAATTTATGAAATTTTAAGAATGTTAGGAATGTTGACGTTAGAAATAATTGGAATTCCTAAAATTGTCACATAAGAAATGCATATGCGGATTTTAAGAAAATTGATATTAAAGTAGTTAGGATGAACCGAAAATTCTGAAAATCAATAGGGTTCCAAATTAGAAGTAATTTTTCAAGAAAATTAAAACCGCAAGGCAATTAGAACTTTCGTTCTAGAGTTATCGTGCCGGCATACATACACACAGACGACTAGACGAAAATTTTTTTTTGCATTTTCGAAAACATGAAAAAAGTTTTAAAAAGTGGGGGCAAAAGTTTCTTTATGACAGAGTAAACTTCCTTCATTTTGATTACCATTGCTTACAACACTTTGTCTAAGGTTTTCTGATACTTAGCAGAACCTATTGACCGCAATATTTTATCATCCATTTTGACAAATTTTGATTAGAACAAACAAACAATCTAGATTATTCACGTATCCATTTGGAGTGACTTGAATAAATTGTTTCTAAAGGTTCAATCCCACAGTAATTATTTCATATAGTGTAATGTGAATAGGGACATTAAAGCTATCCGATGCATCTTCTGGTGGAACATTTAATAACAACTGCTATTCGTAAGCACCAATACTATTTGTATAGTAATTAGAGTTATAGAAAGGAAAATAATTAATTTCAAACTCAAATGTGACCAAGCCGTAGAATAAAAAAAAGAAAATGTTAAATAAAACCAGCGACTGTTACCAACCAGAAAACAACTGCTCTCCTGATTAATACCTAATGCCACCACAACAGGCGTTGGATATATATCCAAAGAAAAATAGTATCTAACTTTGATTTTGCTTACTAAGGAGAGCAGCAAATAGACATTCTCACTTCCTATCTCAAATGGAAACCGTACATGCGTATCTATCTAATCTGAATTAGGGCGTGGTTTAAAGTCTACTCGTACTGGTAGCTCTAGGCTTATTGTACCCCTTACAGCTTCTACCCCATCAGATTTATTTTCTTGATGAATTCAAGAATATGTCTGCTCTTAGATGGACCTTCTATGAATCTTTTGAACTATCTAAGTCCAGGAAGTTCTAACCAGAGCCTATGGTGTTCTCTATTTATTTGTTCCTTTAACACCGATTTAACATGTTGGTATAAAATACCACATGTGGGTTCTGGTCCAATTAGATTTTTTTCTGCTCCCTTCCTAGCTAAAAGATCTGATTTCTCTCTCCTTTCCAAACACTCCCTCATGTCCCGGCACCCATTCAAGAGTGACCTTGTTAAGTACTGCCAGGGCCTGAAGGGACCGTTGGCAATCAAGTATTAATTTAGATTGCACTTTTACCCTTTTCAGTGCTTTAAGGGCTGCCTGACTGTCTGTCATAAAAAATACCCTCTTATCTCTAAAGGGTAACTTAGCATAACTTTGGCGCAGGCATTTATTGCTGTTACTTCAGCCTGGAAGACTGTTGTCAGTGACCCCAGGTTCAGACTAATGGTCCTCCCTGAGTTCACATGGTATATCCCAGCTCCTGTGCTGTTTTTCATTTTCGAACCGACTCTGTACCAGATTGATTCGTTTTGTTTTTCTCTATTTTCCCGGCTTTTGGTCCCTTTTGGTATTTGAATATCGAAAGGTTTCCTTCAAGTCATGACGTTCAACGATGGCATTCTTAATACCAGATTTTGTTTTAATTTCTTTAATATCATTGTGTGGTTTCTTTTTCTCTTAAGTTCCCATCCAAATCCATTAGTTAACAGCCTGTATGCCCCCGCCTTAGTCTCCTTCTCCACCACAAGGTGTAATGGAGGAAGACGTAGCAGTAGCTTCATTGCTGCAGTCGGCGTAGTTCTAAATGCCCCTGTTATTATTAGACAGGCTAGTCTTTGTACCTTGTCTAATTTTCTGTTAGCTGTTATGCTCTTAGTCTTGTGCCACGATATGACTGATGAGTAAGTTATAATAGGTACTACAACCATAGTATAAAGCCAGTGCATCATGCTTGGTTTAAGCCCCCATGTGTTCCCTACCATAGGCTCATAGTATTCTTAAAGCTTTTTCTGTTGTTTTTTCTATATGGCTGCAGAAGTTAAGAGTGATTTCAAGATATTTAACCTCTTTTGCCATTTTTAGATGTTGTCCCCACATATAAAGCTCCTTCATTCCTTGAAGGTTCCTTTTTTAATAATATTTTTTTATTTTTTTATTATTACTACACCACTATGCACTACAACAATTAGTAAGGATTAGTCCTCCTAATCTCCTTTTCTGGTTTGAGTTATCTCATTAGAAAAATGTCTTCCTTCGTTGCTTCTTGCGAATTTTATACATCTTGGTCTTCGTTTCCGATATACCAGAGCACTTTGTTTTAGATTTTTAAGATTTATTTTATAATTGGCGTATCTTTTCAGGAGCCAAAACATTTTTTTACGGTTTCCAGCGAAGAAATTTATTTTCTTATGAAATTTTTATTCTTGCGGTGTGGTTTTCTCTTTCTAACTAATTCAAATAAGTTTATTACATATTAAACTATATATGTGTTAACCTAATTTTTTAATTGAAAAACACTAATTTTACTTGTTTTTCTTTCGCAGGAAACAGTAAACCGCCCCATCCACACAGTCATGGCCACACAACGATCAAAGATTTAGCAGGAAGTATATTAGGAGACGACAAGAACAAAGACGATGGAGAATTATGGAATACTGTTGAGGCACAAACGGCTTTTCTCGGCCCAAACCTTTGGGATAAGACTTATGAAACGGACCTTAAGGTAAAATATACATTTATTTAGCTCATTTACTGCGTTGATAATTTTCAGACACCTTTTATTATATAGATAACATAGGATAAACAAATGTCGATGAATTGCTATTTACTGTTATTTCCAAAAAAATGGCGTATTAGAGAAATTGAATCTATTGGAAGAAATTAATTATTTCAAAATTTATTTCCGTATCTTTATTAATAACGAAGATAAACGTATGGAACTTTTAAGTAGCTCATCCAGTACTATTAAAGCAGAGTACCATGATTTTCGGAATATTGTTGTTGGTGCTATTGTATTCAGAATAAGTAATAACAACTAAAACCTAATGATTTTTTATTTATTTATCGATATTTTGTTTTAAGAATATTGTCGACGCTGTGAAACATAAACAATACCTACTTGGTAATTTACGTTTGAGATATAAAGGTGCCGCTCGACGCACGTCAATTATCGTAAGCGACAAATAGCTTTTCGCTCGAATTACAGATAATATTTTTAATACGATCCCACGATATTACTAAATTCAAATTTTATTTGACAGGAACCGCCAACTTAACCCACGAAACATGTGTTATGTGTATGTTGTGTTACCTACTTACTTGCAGATTGCAAGCTTAAGTTATTATTAGCGTGAAAAATGTTGGTTTACTATGTACATCTCGAACATTGTTGACACATCCACTGTTTTATGTTTTTAATTTTACAAACAAAAACCAATTCAATATTATAAAAAAGTTTTCCCGGTGAGGATAGAACTCACGATCTTATGATTTGAAAACTAACGGGTTGCTACCAACGAGAAATCTCAAATTTACAGGTTTAAAACGGGGTAATCTATTTTTTATTATTACACTTATTTTTTAAATATTAAGGTTTGAATATTATATGTTCAACTAAAATATTCAGACTAGTCTACTTTTTGTTCAAAAATATTTATTGGCTTTAATAATGACTAGGTAACTTTATTTACTGCAAATTTAAATAAGCGTTAAATAATGTCAAAATATGAGAACTCGCGAAAAATGTGATTTTTTTCATTTAGATTTGACTCTGCAGAAACATACTTTAGATATCGATCATAAAAACATTTTTTAAATACCAAATTAACCGAAACATGCAATAATTTGTAAATTTTTTTTTAGTACGTAGATTTGGATGAGTTCCTATCAGAAAATGGCGTCTCGATGGACGGACTGGGTACCCACGGATCACTAGGCCCCCTAAGTAGTTCTCAATCAGTCCCCAAAAGGGAACGATCGCCTAGTCCGAGCGATTGTATGAGCCCAGATACTATGAACCCACCTTCACCTGCCGACTCAAGTAAGTTTTACTAGGAAAAACAAACAATATAAATACAAGAAAAATAAATAATAAATTGAAATTGTTGTTAAAGGCCCTTTACAGTTTTTTACCCATTCTTTCTTACTTATTTTATTCTTAATATTACATATTCTTTTCTATTTTCTAGTTTTATTTCTTTCTCTAGTTCTAAATCATCTTAGAAGTATGAATTCCATTTCCAATTATTGTCTACACTTTTCTTAGGCATTAACTTGTCTATATTTGGAGCTGATAATATTATTCTATCAAAGATCTGCAGGTTCTTTATTTATTAATTTCCAGTTTTTTCCAGTAAAGAATCCAGATGTACGAATTTCTAAGTTTTATAATTATTTGATTAATGAAATAACTTTCTTAATTTTTGAAGCATTTTAACAAAATTTACTATAGTGAGTAAACAACAATACCCATATCTCACGTGATGTGGTAAAACTAAAAATTATAGAAATTGGTAATTTTTAGAAACTTTCAGTTGTACCATAAGTATCACTTCTGTCAAATACGTCAGTGAAATTATTTTAGGGGTTACTACCAAAGTTATTAGTTACTTTTAGCCAACTGACGACATCAATTTAGTCACGTGGGATACGGGTATTGTTGAAGAATCTCTATTATAATAAAATGCACTATTTTAACTGATTAACCTGTCATAATTTTTTGCTACAGAACGTACAAAAAAATCAAGTTGACATATTAATTTGCAACGTTGCCATATTGAATACTATTAAATTTTTGTATTAGGGACGTCTTAATTCATCTATAATGATTTTCCTTCTCCTACATTTCTGTTAATAATAATTATAAAATTAAATATTATTTCAATCTTGATAATATTCAAGTATTTTTTTGTTATCAAGTGAAACTCTGGGCAACGCTGTATGAAAATGGCAAAATCTACAGCTTTTAATTTGATTTTTCTCAGAAAATTATTAGTTTTCTGCAATCTGTATGGAATGAGTATTCGACAACTTTTTGCAAAATTCGTGCTTCTGGATTCTTGTAGTTTTTATTAAATTTTTATTTTAAAGCGAAAAGTCTGGCAACTAGGTATTTTTTTTAAATCGAATTAATGTATAATTATGAAAGTATAGGGTGATGAATGAGAGTGTATTCTGCATTTATAATTTATATGACGTCAGCGTTTAGCGTACCGCAGCCATCTTGGATTTTTTGAACGCAATGGAGGTCGTGCGATATATCAGGGAAAAGCATATTTGCTTTTCTTTCATCTTTTTTAAAAATACTAACAATGTACCACATTAATGTAATACAGCATTCATCGCCCTAAAATATCTTGTTAGACTTTTTCTCTATGATCATAAAAAAAACAATAATAATGTCCCATTCATTCGTTAAAAAAAAAAAAATACCTTGGTGTGAGACTTTTTCACTACCCCATATATATTTTTAAATAATAAATTAGTAAACGAATGAATAATAGTTCCTCTATGTTTATTAGTTTAAATCTATAGATTTTCTATTTCTATATTCATAACTTAGGTTAATTATTCCTTTTCTATTTGATATACCGGGTGGTCGATAGATTTCTGGTCAGATAATATCTTAGTTAGTTGAATTTAACCACTATTTTTTTAAAATATGGTGCATATGGAATAAAAAACTTTTACTGCTTGATCCCAAATGGACCCATTTAGTCTATCAGCTAGCACCCCATTTTTTTTAGTAAATAGTCTTATTTCTGCGGTATTATGAATAAAAATTGGTCAAAATACAAAGTAAAAGAACTCATATTAATGATTGTCAAACCAACTACTAGAAATATATGAATTAGATTTGGGTATTATCATCTATGTACTCAAATAATTTCCATGTTGTCAGTCCAAATTTTTACAATTTTGATCATTAAAGCCTAAAAAAGAACGAATATGATTAATGAACTAAAAGGAAACGTATCAAATTAACAAAAATCAAAAAAGGGGTTGCTATACGAAAAATTAATATTAGGGGTGCCTTATAACGAGTGGTGTGACAAGGGGTTCATTTGAGTTCACTCTGTAAAATATTTTTCTTTTTTTTTTTTAGTTGTTACTTGGCCAGTTGCCAGATAATTTTTCTATTTTTATTGTTTTATTTATACAGGGTGGCTCACGCTCAACGGGACGGAGCTTTATGGGAAAACGACCAAAGATATAAAAAATTCGTTTGTGAGGAATACGTAGGTTACAGACGGCTACAATTTAAAATTTGTTAGATGTATACAGGATGTCCCACATAAGAGAAAATATACAAAGTTATATTATTTTTAATGGAACACCCTGTTTTTTATTTTAGAATTTAAAACTACATCAAAAATAATGTCAGTTAACTAAAGGTTCCCTATTACTATTATTATTAGTTTTCGATTTATTTGAATTTTTAAGGAAAAAAGTCTCCCAGAAATTAATTGTTTACTCTTGTTTGAATAATTTTTAATGAACTAATTTTTTTTTCTTATGTGGGACATCCTGTGTACATCTAACAAATTTTAAATTGTAGTTGTCTGTAACCTACGTATTCCTCCCAAACGAATTTTTTATATCTTTGGTCGTTTTCCCATAAAGCTCCGTCCCGTTGAGCGTGAGCCACCCTGTATATTATTTGACAATTATTACTGTATAATTTCAGTAAAATGACAAAATTCCAACGTTTGTCAGCTTTTATTATTTTTATTATACTTTATTTACCAAAATGTGTAAACTAAACTTTTACTGTCTAATAATACTTAGTTTAGTTAGTAACTATTAAGTAACTAAATAGTAAAAATGTATATTAAATTATATAAAAGTTTAGTTTACAACAAAAAGCCTTACTAAACTTCAGAAAAACCTCTAGACATTACGAACACATTTTTTAAATAGTCTTTTTGTGCCGAAAATCTTTTAGAGCAATGTCTAGAAGCATCAGCATACAGGGTGATTCACAGCCAATTTAAATAATGATAAAAGTTACATCGTACGAACACAAAGCTATGCTTTAAACTAGAATGAATGGAGGAGCTTCGAGATTGGAGATTATTGAAAGCAGCAATAGAATTTTATATCTAAAAAAGAAAATTAAGATGTACAAACTATATCGTAAATTGTAAAATTAACGATTTTTTTAAATATTTTTCAGTTTAATACATTATTAATTTTTAAAACAGCAATGTAGATTTTGAAAATATTAAGTTAGTTTTCAAGTATAATAATCAGTTAAATAGTATTTTTTTCTACCGAATCAAAGTCGACCAGAATCACTCTGTATAGATTTATTAATTTAGAATTCAAACACGACCTTACTAGATTATTGTTACAAGCAATGCGAAATTTAGTAAGGCACGTAAAACAGACCGTTGTGCAAAGAAACACAATACTAATGTCTAAAATACAGTTTTTTCTGAAGCTTTATCTATGGCTTCGAGTTGTCGAGACTACGATCCTAGGAAGAGAGTATTTTCAGATGAGGATCTGAAACCACAACCCCTTATCAAAAAGTCGCGGAAACAGTTCGTACCCGATGACCTCAAAGATGACAAATACTGGGCGAGACGGAGGAAGAACAACTTGGCTGCCAAGAGGTCGCGCGACGCCCGTCGGATGAAAGAAAATCAGATCGCGCTTCGAGCAGGCTATTTAGAAAAAGAGGTCAGTATTTTTCTCTAATATTACTTATTTAGATCTTCTGCTTGTCCCATATCTAGGTTATGGTCCTGTGAGTGGTAGTTCTAATTCCTCTTTGGCCAGTTTTTCAGCCATATGTACCTTTATGTTCTGGTGTCCACCCTGATTTTACCTTGTTGAGGGTTGCCAGATCATAAAGTATTCAAAGTCAGCCAGCTTTGACTCGATTTTGTTTAACCAAGGGCCTTTAAGGCTTTGTGGCTATTTGAGATAATTAATATAATTTGTTTTTTGCACTTACTTCGTAAATTCTCTCATACAAAACTCGATTGTATGTATTACCAATAAGAGTGATGTCGCACTTGGGTTTAACTCTACGTAAACCATGGTTTCGTTAATTGTTCGCCTTTCTCCGAACAGGCATAACAGACCTAACCTTGTATTCCGAGTAAAGGTTACGAGTTTTGCCTTGTTAGGGTTTACCAAGAAATGTTATCTAACTCACCACATTTCTGTCAGTCCTAGAGCTCTTTGTATGAGCTCAAAGACTTGTTTGATGTTTCTCTTGGATAAGGATGACTATGTCTTCGGCGTATCCTTGGTTGAGCGTACTGCCCTTATTTGTTTAGTGTTCTTAGCAGTTCATCTCCCACTAGGTTCCACAGGAGAGGCGAGGACTTCCTTCTGTATGCATCTCCTGTAAATATTCACCTGCTTGGTTTCACTGAACATGTGTACCTCTAAAGGCCGTCCACGTAACATATTTTCTATCTACCAGCAGATTTTATATCATGTTTCGAGCGGTAGCTACCATTGATATAAAGGCGGTATTATCAAAAGCTTCTTCTATTTCTTGATTACTAAGTCTCCCCTATCTTGGTTACAAGATGATGCAAAGCAGACTCGCAAGATTGTCCAAATTGATAGGCATGTTGGTTTGCATAAAATAGCCTTTATATCAAAATGATTTGCCGGACAAGCTGATTAATCAGGTTTTCAAATCCTTTTAGTAAAAATGACGTCAGAGTTATTGGTGTATGTAGGCCTTTTCCAAGGCATATATTGCCCTGGATTGGATATAAAACAGTTCTGCTTTGTTTGCAGGTATTTAGTACATGTTTATGCACCAAACTTGCCCTGTAGAGCCTACAAGTATGCGGAGCCTGTGTTTTTATTGGCTTTTACAGAAGCATCTGGTCCCGGTGATTTATATGGGTTTTGTATAGGGTGCGTATTGCCAATGTTACTTTCTCTATTGTGACTACCCGTTTTGCAATTTTTGTTTCTTGGCCGGAGACTCTTCTTTGAGAGTTCCATATCGTGTGGGTTTGCTGCGGATTTTGTGTGCAATCAGGGATAGAATTTTAAGAAGTAATTCCAGTGTTTTCATTCCAGTTTGGATTTTAAGAGTCCCTACTGGGTTTATGGGATCTTTTGCCAGAATGTGATATCTTCATCCTTCATGATAATACACTACTTAAGAAACAAGTTGAAGAGCAACCATTCTTAATACAAACAATAAGCCTTAATAATAAAGGCCTTCTTGAATATTCGTTATTTGGGGCAGCGTTTAACAACCAGTGGGGCGCACCCCCGTTGAAGAGAGATGTAAGATTTGAAGGCGCGAAGAATTTAAAAATTATAAAAAAAAAAAGAAATTGTCCTTCCAGGAGTTACTTTTCATCATAGACACTATATATTCTATACTTACATGCGCACTAAAAAGAACGCGTACTCGTTATTTTGTTTTATGCGCTTTTACTGTCTTATTTCATTTTACGAAGGTATATTCTTAAGTGCATTGATTGCTGTTATCAAACCATTTCACGAGATAGCTCTTTAGAACATAAGAAATCTCACAAGAATCTCAGCCCAAGGTTTTGCTCTTCCTTACCAATGTCCGCCGGATTTTCGTTAACTATCTATTCTAGCACGCCTATGTGAATTAAAATATGAAGCATTACTATTTTCGGATTATCAAACTATAAGAGAGCTTCGGAAACAGTTCATATAGTTTAACAATCAATAATTTCAGCTTAACTGGCGTGATAATAGAGGATTTGTACATTTTAGAAAACATCTATACAACAAATCTTAAATTAACAAAAGGAAGGAAGAAAATAGTATTGGTGGAAGTGGGAATTCTTGCAAAAATACAAAATCGGACCCTTACCGTAAGCAGCAAATCTATGATCTTGTTCAATTCATCTTTTATATCAATCAATTTCTCAAGCAGATTCACAAAGTCTTACAAAATGTCATGTACTAGTGATATTATCGATATAAGCAATAACATAAACCACTTCTACAATGATTCGATGTTTACAATAACCTTTTCTATTAAATTCGCAAAGGTAACAGAAGTCTTAAAATTACAATGTGAAGAAATTACAAGAACCAACATTAATTGATTAGAGTCGAATTTATTATAGTCGAGCCTTGAGGCATTCTTTATGTATGATACATCCTCAACTTTTCAGTTTTATTACTCTTTCCTAAAAAAAATGCTTGAGGATGGACAAGATCGCATTTTATTTCCTTTAACCATAAAAAGCACGGAATTCATGCAGAAAAAGTAAGATTTTGATGTGGATATTGGTTTACTATTTACAGTGTGTAGTTTCTCTTTAATAAGAGGTAAATATTTTGACGGGACTTGAATCCTTTCAAATGGATTGTCCCAATCAATTATGTAATTCTTAGGCATTCTGATATGAAGAAGTATTTTATTTTCTACTAAGCTTACAAAATCCATAAAAAAATCTTATAAAATTTGACCAATGTTATGTTATGCATGAGGTAGTAATAAATTGCGACCTTATCTATTGTGCCACCTTATGGTGCTTATGCATCAAGGGAATAGTTTCGATACCTATAACGACCCTTCTAATCCTATCCTGTCAAAGAAATGTAGGATTTGGTGTAGCTTCTATTTAGTTTGCTCCTGAAAATGGTGTCCTTGGATTCTGGAGTACTATACATTCAAATAGAATCTAAATGAAGGTTTTGTCCTCCTTATCACTAAATCTGCACTCTATATCTTCTACCAGTCCCAGTTTACTAAGGTGCTTTGAGTCGACAAGGTCCTCTGTTACAATTTGCAGTTCGCAGCTATTTTTGCTCAGATACATTTTTTCTGCTTATAGTCTTAGTTTGTCTTAGGCCCGATAAATCGTTCAATTTATCGGTTCTACTACTGTTCAAAATTCTTGTTTAATCTCTCCTAATATTGTGGTAATCCATTTTCTTATAAAATTCGAACAAATCACAGCACAAACCAATCAACGCTGTTATAAATTGTATATTTTCATCTTTAAAATCGGCAAAGAATGCCCTAAGGCAGCTCCAGTCCTACCTGCTTAATTTTAAGGGGTTGTTAAAGATTTCTTCGAAGACTCTAAAATATATTTTGCTCCTTGAGGGCCAAGGACTCCTCAAGTCTCTACCATAAATTCTAACTTTAATATTAGGTAAAATTTAACATTTTGGGGTATATTGTTGAACAAATTTCGATATATTGGGCAAGGGCAATATAATAAATGTTGCAATTATTAGGTATAGACAATTTTTTGAAAGATTTGGACACTCATGAGTTTGATTTGAGAAGAAAAAAAATTAAGCAGGGTGATCTTAAGTGTGTATTTTTGTTCAGAGAGTACTTTTTCTTTAGATCGTATAGAAATTAAGCCCAAAAGGTAGGCAACTTTATATACGTATGTGTATATCGCGTTATCGTCGTGGTAGTGTGTTACAAAACGAAATACCTAATTATATTTAGAAAGAAATTTTATTCTCAGAATTGTTTACCTCCATAACTCACATTTAATTTCTAAACCGAATTGATTTACTTTGTCTTTTGTAAATTGTAATTTTAACTTTTAGTAGTTGCTTGAATTTATTGATTATTTTATTGTAATACAAACGAGTATTGCTATAAAGTTTTTGAGCAGTGAAATATTGTATCTGCTCGCATTTTGAAAAATAAAACCAAATATCATAAACAAATGTATATCTAACATTAGAATTAATTACTTTCCTATCTGTATCCAGATAAGGAAAGTATAGGAATCATGATATTTCGACCTCGAGTTTTCGACGGATTTTTACGTTTTGGGCTCCCCTGAATCTGTTTTGACTATTTTCGCTATTCTGTCTATATGTGTGTGTGTGTGTGTGTGTGTGTGTGTGTGTGTGTGTGTGTGTGTGTGTGTGTGTGTGTGTGTGTGTGTGTGTGTGTGTGTGTGTGTGTGTGTGTGTGTGTGTGTGTGTGTGTGTGTGTGTGTGTGTGTGTGTGTGTGTGTGTGTGTGTGTGTGTGTGTGTGTGTGTGTGTGTGTGTGTGTGTGTGTGTGTGTGTGTGTGTGTGTGTGTGTGTGTGTGTGTGTGTGTGTGTGTGTGTGTGTGTGTGTGTGTGTGTGTGTGTGTGTGTGTGTGTGTGTGTGTGTGTGTGTGTGTGTGTGTGTGTGTGTGTGTGTGTGTGTGTGTGTGTGTGTGTGTGTGTGTGTGTGTGTGTGTGTGTGTGTGTGTGTGTGTGTGTGTGTGTGTGTGTGTGTGTGTGTGTGTGTGTGTGTGTGTGTGTGTGTGTGTGTGTGTGTGTGTGTGTGTGTGTGTGTGTGTGTGTGTGTGTGTGTGTGTGTGTGTGTGTGTGTGTGTGTGTGTGTGTGTGTGTGTGTGTGTGTGTGTGTGTGTGTGTGTGTGTGTGTGTGTGTGTGTGTGTGTGTGTGTGTGTGTGTGTGTGTGTGTGTGTGTGTGTGTGTGTGTGTGTGTGTGTGTGTGTGTGTGTGTGTGTGTGTGTGTGTGTGTGTGTGTGTGTGTGTGTGTGTGTGTGTGTGTGTGTGTGTGTGTGTGTGTGTGTGTGTGTGTGTGTGTGTGTGTGTGTGTGTGTGTGTGTGTGTGTGTGTGTGTGTGTGTGTGTGTGTGTGTGTGTGTGTGTGTGTGTGTGTGTGTGTGTGTGTGTGTGTGTGTGTGTGTGTGTGTGTGTGTGTGTGTGTGTGTGTGTGTGTGTGTGTGTGTGTGTGTGTGTGTGTGTGTGTGTGTGTGTGTGTGTGTGTGTGTGTGTGTGTGTGTGTGTGTGTGTGTGTGTGTGTGTGTGTGTGTGTGTGTGTGTGTGTGTGTGTGTGTGTGTGTGTGTGTGTGTGTGTGTGTGTGTGTGTGTGTGTGTGTGTGTGTGTGTGTGTGTGTGTGTGTGTGTGTGTGTGTGTGTGTGTGTGTGTGTGTGTGTGTGTGTGTGTGTGTGTGTGTGTGTGTGTGTGTGTGTGTGTGTGTGTGTGTGTGTGTGTGTGTGTGTGTGTGTGTGTGTGTGTGTGTGTGTGTGTGTGTGTGTGTGTGTGTGTGTGTGTGTGTGTGTGTGTGTGTGTGTGTGTGTGTGTGTGTGTGTGTGTGTGTGTGCGTGTTTGTATTCACCATAACTCATGAACAGATACAAAGAAAAACACCAAAATTTTAAACTTAAGCTTAGTTCCGTCCTGCAATTAACTAATTAGATTTTGGACAGAGTCGGAACATGTGGGGGTACTTTATAGGGAGTCATTTTTATAATTTATGGAATATATCTGTTAGTTACGCTTGGAGAATAAAATTCTTCAAATACTTCTCTATTATTCTCTATAATTTTTGTTCTATACAAAATTTTCCAAAATTTTATTCGAGAAATTTGATAAAATGTAAAAAAAATCAATTTTTCATGAAAATTGTTAAACTAAAAGTTGTTTGCGATATCTATCTCTATAATTTCTGTTTTATACATGATTTCTATAAAAATGGACCGTAATGGAAAATTTGAGGAAAAGTGTAAAATTTTAATTTTTCTGTATATTCGTGGCAATGAATATATATAAAAAAGTTTCGAGTTAGAAGTATGCGGAGTGGGAAATATTGTCGCACGAGGCACAAGCCGAGTGCGACTATCACACGAGTGTGGAAAATCTCTTTTCACACAAGTGATGTACAATATTTTTCCTACGACCACAAAATAATTTCCTCAAAAAATGTAAAACCAGGTTATTATTATTATAATAATTAAAATGTATTTAAAAAAATAATCAACAATAATCGTATTTATTCAATTTTCATATATTCTAAACAAAAAAAAAATTAAAAAACAAAAATTCGGATTTGATTGGATTTGAACGCGGTCGCTCGCCAGGTCTCAAATGGCAAAGTTGATAAGTTTGACACTGTAACCATCTGAGCTAATAGGGCTTGCGTCAATTAAATGATCTAATCGGTTAGTGTTTAACCAGAATAAAAAGCAAACATATCTTAATTATTTTAATAATAATTGGTAAAGATAAATATCTAGGATCTAATTTACAACAATTTCAATAATTTAACAATCATATCGATTTTAGTATTAATATGGACATTACATATATCAAAATAGAAATGATGTGTTTGACATTTTGTGACAACTGCTGCGGAAAGTAGCATATTCGTGCAAGGGTGGAAAGTAAATTCCTATTCATACGCACTTTCCATAGGACTATATAGTGTGATAAGTGGTCGTAGGAAAATGTATATATTTAGTTTATCCTCTAAACATTTATAGAGGTGCTACAACAGGTTGTACAAAATAACCGGAAAAAGTCTGTAATAACTAGATATGAAAGTCATGTGTAGGACACATCAGTCAATGATATTAAAATGATATATTTAAAATTAAAATTTTATGAAGTTATTGTTTTACAAATATTTTCCATTGATCACTATTTTTTCTTTCATTCACTAGTTCTGACTCCCTTAGCTTTCCACATACCTTCTTGCTTATCTGTAAAATTAAAAACTTCCTAGTTTATACACATTATAGCATTTTTATTAATATATTTTTATCTTTCAGAATGTGGGTCTGCGCCAAGAATTAGAACGTATGAAAAAAGAAAACCTGATCTTAAAGAACAAATTGTCAAAATATGAAGATGTCTAAGTACCTGAGGGAGCTAGAATTTTTCTCTGCGTTTCATTAGAAAAATAACCATACGATCACCAAACTCGAAAACTACTTATTCAGTGAAAAAAGTGTTCCTTCAGGAGACAACCAAACATTTGTATATAAAACATACACATTATGTAGTCATTATGTAGTGTTAAGTTTATTACTTGTAGTAAAAACTATTAATTTTTTGTGTTTAGATATTTGATTACCGAAGTACTTGGCCCAATCCTGAATATTTTCGTTATTTACTATTATGTTCTCTAGTAATTTGTCCCCGAAATTGTTGGTTCCAATAAGGAAGCTCATTCTTAATAATTGAAATATCAATAAAAACTGTTATGCATCATATTTTAGCAATCCTTTATATTTGCTTACTCTTCTATTTCTACTTATTTTTATTGTCTCGATTATATAAAAACAATCTCTTTTCATAAACTTCCTGATTTTTTGGATTACCGCTATTTAATCCTGATCCTGATTTTGTGTACCTAAAATGACTGATTATTGCTTTAAAATGTAAAAACTATTTTCTTCTTTTATAGTAACCCAGTAACCATAATATTTATTTTTGTTTCATCTTCATTATTATTTATATTTTTTAGAAACTTATTTCATAATTATTCATCTTCACTTCATTTGCTATGATTTCTATTCTTTTCTGATTATTCTTTTTTTAATAAATTTTCTTATTTCGACGTTAAATGCATTCAGATTAGATATTATTATTCAAGCGTATTTTTGGAACCAACAATTTAATCTAATTGCTAAAGAACGTAATTCGCGTCATACGTTCAGTTACCATTTTCTTCTGCTATTGCGCTAGATACGTTTTTATTTTTGTTTTAACTGGACCCTGGTCATAATACGTTCTATATTAGAATCGACCTTTACAAAATAAGACAGACGGCCAAGTACTTTTTGATATCTAACTAAAACCAATTCAAAAAACAAGTTCTGCCTATAATTATTTTTGGGTAGCGAATCGTCTGTTATACAATGTAGACTATTTTTTTGTTGATTGTTTTTATGTTTATATAGTCTATTTTTGGTTGAAGTTAATTTAGTGGTAACTTTAGGTATTATAGTAAAATCGTAGTATGCTCACAAATTTGCAGTGATAGGGACGTAGCACAATTCAAGCTAACGTTGTTAGATAAATGATTTATAATGTTGAACATTATATAAAGTACGTACACGCTTTTGTATAAAATTGTAATTCACGAAGACATGACAAATTTCATCGTTTCTAAATATTGTTTTAATTCGATGTATGTACTTTTTGCAATGTTTAGAATAAATAAAAAGGCTTACGTTTATTGTTAGTATACAAGATGAGTTAAAAATGCTCAATTTAATGTCAGAACTCTCCCAAAAATAGGGTCAATTTAATTTTTTACGACACCAAAATAAAGGTCCACTTTTTACCACCAATAATAACATGTATTTTTAAATAAAAACAGTGTTTTAAGAATTTCTCTAAGAGGTTAATTTTGTTATAACATTAACTTTAGAAATTTTATCTCCAGTATCATCTTCACCTCATTTTGGCCTTAATTATATTTTTAACATAAGCAAACTATTGCTTTTGTTATTTTAAAACACTCCAAAATTTAGGATTACGAATAAAATTAGGTTATTGTACAGCGTTGCCAGTTCTGTCAATAAAAACGTACTAAATTTTTTATGAAAAGTACTAGATTTACGCAAAACGTACTAAATTTTCTAATTTAATAAAAATAATTAGAAATAGGAATTAATAAAATTTTACACCATTTAATATATAAAGTTACGTGCTTAACTCTTTATTATTAGTGTTCATCGGTCAATAAATTCATAATACAGATCTCCATAATAACTTTATTCAATCAAATGAAAACAAAAAAATAAAATAATGTAAAAAAACACGATTTAAATAAACGATAATACAAGGTGGCGCAAAATAAAGTCCCCTATTTGTTTTTTATATAAAAGTAAGATTAATTAAAAAACAGTCATATTATAAATAAAAAATATTTATTTAAACTCTTAAAATTTGTTTTGTTACACACTAAAAACAATATCGATCAAATGGCCACCCACAGCATTAATGCAATAATGAGCTCTTTTTAAAGCATTTTTCATTACTTTCTCCAACATTTCAGGTGGTATTCTGTCAATTTCTTCGCGGATGTTGTCTTTTAATGCTTCTAGTTTTCGAGGATTATTTACAAATACCCTATCTTTGAGATAACTCCATAACCAAAAGTCTGGAACAGTTAAATCGGGAGACCTTGGCGGATATGCAATATCGATGTTTTTCGAGATAAGATGTCCAGGAAAAATTCTGATAATCGACGAATTATTTTAATAAAAAAATTTTACGATTTCGGCACGTTCTCGAGGCGTATATCGATTGATAATGAATTTCCCAAGTATCTACTTTGCAACTGACAGAAAAACTCGAACAGATATCAACTACAAACGAAACCATGACAACATTCCATAGGGTACTTGATTTTGCGCCACTTTGTATATTATTAATAAAATGGTCCTAAACGTCTAGAGTGTTTAATTGAAATTTTCCCTATATGTCTAGGCAATCCCTAGTGGGAATTTTGAGTTTAATCATCTGGCATCACTATATGTTAATTTGTGTCGTAGAACTGAAACAGAAGTTTCCATGTGGTGCAATTATCATTGCCCATCAAATCTTTACAGTGAAATATGTTATCGCATGTTTTCACCTCTAATTTATTTCTTAATTTAGTTTTGATATTATTTAGTTGAGAAAAGATACGTTCAGCACATACAGATGAATGTGGTATACACATTTATTAACTTTTGTTAAATTAGAGAACATAGGAACGTTTAATTTATTTTTACAGTTAATAATATGAGACCAAAATTGTTCAAAACCAAGTACACTTATGTTCTTTAAATCCTCAAATTCAGGTAAAAGTCGCCATTGTGTATTCAATTCTTCAACATCAACATCAATACTTGGAAAATAGGAACAAATTTTTACAATACTAAGTACATCACCTGAAATAGCTTTTTCAGGGGTAAAATTTGAGAGAAACTTTAATATATGATCATTAAAGTCAAACCTCTGCCTAATTTGAACACAGAGTTCCACATAAAAACCTAGAGCATTTGTTTTAAAATTCCTGATTTCACTTTAGTCAATACTATCATATTCAAACATTTGTTCAACTTTTGCACCAAGTACATTTCATCTATCTTTAAAAGAATAGTTAGGATTAGATGGTGCTATAGCTGCCAGATTATCTTATGTAACGTATGTAATTTTTTAAAATAATTTTATAGAGTTCACTAATTTTTTGATTAAGATGATGTATTTTTAAGTAAACTCTTACAATAGGTGTAGAAAACTTTTCTAAAATAATTTGAGTTGATTACAGACCATCAAGCAAAACTACACTTTGAAAACATAATTTTAAAGCATCCCAATATAGCAGAACTCTATCTACTGCTGCCTGTAACAGAAAACAGCTACTATAAATCTTATATTATCAATATTGTATTTGATCTTACGTGTAATGACAACCACCTTGTTTGGACTAGGTGCAACATTTCGTAAGGTTTTATATTCGTAAACTTTTGAAAATTGCAGTGGGCAAAGTAATTGTAGATACTTCTTATAAAGTCTTCTAGGCCTCGAGGTAGTTTTGTACATTCTGCTGAGGAACACAATGCAAATGAATGGCATATACATCCCAAAACAAATATGTTCGGGTTTAAACTTTTTATTTTATCTTTTACACCATTTTTGTCCTCCATCATAACATTAGCATTGTCTGCTGCAAAGCCTACCATATTTTTTATAGGTATTTCGCAAACAGACTTAAATAAATTCTCACTTGTAGCTTAAAAATCGATCTCTAACTTTAATACCATTATGGTATCTTATAATAACAGCAAGAGATCATTTGGCAGAAATATCAGTTGTTTCGTCGATTAATATTGAAAATAAATGGTTCTGGGTTTCCTGCTGAATAATATCTAGAGCTTCCTTTGCTAAACATTGTTTTGTTATTTCAGTAGCCTTTGTTTTACTGCATTTCAAATTTTTTATTACTTCACACTCTGGAAAAGTTGAATTTAACATATTTGGCATATGGTCCATTAAAATTGCAGGTTATGCTCATGCAGGAACATCAATAAAATAAGTTCAGCTTGTTTTGTCTTCTTATTTAGAGTTTCAAATTCAAAACCTGTAATATTTCCAATTTTGGCGTACTAACAGACTTTTTGTATTTTTTTTCATGTAATTTAGTTAGTTCATGTCGTTTAATGTTGCAAGTTATAGTTTTGTTACAACACTTACAAAACACCAAGTTAGACCTCTCGTTACAGTCTTTTGTTAGCCAAGTATATTTACTTTCCCAAGATTTTATAAATTGTTGTTTGTATATCTTCCTACGTTTAGTTATTATTGCATGGACATTTATTTGAGTACCAGTACCAGTTGTGATCGCATCCTCATCTTCGCTATGGCTTGATTCAGAATCAATTTCTTGTTTGTCCGTGTTCATAGATTCATATGATGATCGTGATTTTTGTTCAATATCATGCCCAGTTAAACTAGATGTGGTTAAGTATCTGTAAAAATATTAATAATCAAATTGAGTTATGTCGTTACTACACAATTTTATCTATCCATATTTTGATTTGTTATTATTTCTTTCTTCTTCCTTCTTTTCCGGTTTCGTACCAAAAAAATCTAAAATCGATGTTTATTGGTTGGTTCTTCCTTTCTTAGTTAATATGGCCAGTTGCCATAAGGTATTCAGCCAGTTTCGATTGAATAGATAAGACCATAAATTACTGGTCTGTATACAACTATAAACAAATAATTAAATTCAATTCATGTTCAGTGATTTTCGTACAAAAACGTACTACATTGTATTTGGGCGTATTAGCGTACTAGCAAGTTTGAAAAGGGATTAGACTTAGTACGAACATACTAGCACTGGCAACGCTGGTTATTGAATAAATTTGTGATACTTGAACCTTATACAAGTCGGATATGAAATAAAAGTATTTTTCGTAAAGAATTCGTTCATTTTTGTTTCACAGTGTTTACTATTTAAATAATATTTTACGATACTGGCACTGATTTTTCTTCATAAGTTATTCATTTAACTTTTTTTAATAATTTTTAAAGTTAGGTGGTCTAATTTTTTTAATTTTCATGTGTTTAGTCTATATGTGGTAAAAAGAACACCATCACTCATCTTGTATAATTAATGATAATTTCACTGTTGTTTTTTTTTTACTACAGAATTATTTGAATGTTAGGTGCGTACTTAAAACGTGACTAGACTAATTTTTTTATTTATTAGAACGATATTGCATACAAAGGCCTATTTTTCGGTTAAGTGTTTAGTAAATAAGTGATTAGAGAATTTTCTTTCGAAACTTTGCATGTTTTATGTTTTATTTTGTAGTGAATGACTTATTTAATTTTAATTCACGTTTGGTGTTACATAAATGCTACTGCGAATATTTTCTTGCGAAAAGTCTGATCAATTTTTCTGGCGTAGATAAATTTTTATATTCTATAAGACTACTTCTTTACCTCAGCCAGAATATTTAAAAAAATGTATTAAAAAAAATATAAATATATTTTTTTGTAAAAATAAATCAACGATTTAATAAACGAAATGTTCGCGGTAGATTTTTTAAAAAAACGCAAACGTATAAGAAACATTAGGAATATTGAGGTTGATATTTCGAATACAAAGATGGTTGTCAGTGATTTCACACAGTGATATAAATGTTAAAAATATACGATGTTACCATAATTATAATATTATTCAATTTTTAAGTATAAAAACAACATAAAACATCTGCAAAAACTATTGGGACATGGTTCTTGAATATAGAACTGCCTTAAAGGCATGCCTTACAAATTTTGAATTTCGATCTTTTATATTTGTTGAAAATATTTGTAAATGTAACTTGCAATGGTGTTTTATTCTACGAGAGTCAGCTGAATCCTCTTTATTATTACAAATTTTAAAAATCTACCTACAGAACAATGTTATTTAGTTATTTCTTACGGAATATTATATATTTTTTTCACAAAAACAATGTTTCCTTTAGTTGACATCCGATGTTAATTTGTGAAAGAGGACTAGCAGACTCTGAGCTGAATTATTTTTCAGTGGTAAAAATGTTTATATGTATTTACAAAATGTTACTGTTAAATAATATACATTATATTATATTTATGAACATAATTTTACATTACAAATGTACATGTTAAGGCCTCAATGTTAACCATTTTGAAGAATATTCTGAATTTTATAGAAATGCGCAGCTTCTTTTTGCGTGACACACAAATTGTGCATTTGTAGTAGCGTCAATCCCTGTGTAGATAATATAAAGAAAATAATAAATTTAAAAACTGTAATTGCTATTGTGAGCATTAAATGATAAAAAATTGCTTTATTGTTTTTTAATCTTTTCCTCTAATTTATCTGGGTATGTCAGGGGCGCATATGCATATACGAGGGTGGGGGAAGGTGAGGTAAAGGTGGTAATTACCACAAAAAAATTTTAAATCGAACTTTTTATAAGTACTTAAATCCTAGATAACAATTATATATTCTCAGCATGTTCTTAGTATTGTTACCTGACAAACCGGGTCCTAACTTAGTTTTACAAATATTTAAAACCTTGGCCTAAAATATGTCTAGCAGATACCCATGAAGTGATTTTTGTAGGACCCCAAAATTTCGCTTAGAGTTCAATGTAGCTGTAATGGAGGAACAAAAAAAGTAAACACAAAAATAGATTAAGAATAGTTCTATTTAAACTTATTTCTTATAGCGGAAAGTTGACAATAATGTTTGTTTAGTTTAACATAACACATGTGTGGCCTTTTCCATGTCTCACTTCTAACCGAAGGAATATTAAGCTCCCATAAACCAGTGAAAGAATGATGACAGTACTACAGCATATTTGTTATCCCTTTATAATGCACAATCATACACACTGCTAATATAATACCTGCATACGTATAGTCTGATATAGTGAAGTTCAGCGGTATCACGAAGAGTATGGCGCGATATGAATATTGGTGGCTTAAGGCTCTTTTTCGGCGCAAGGCTCTTTTGCTCTAATTACCGACGAATCAATGCTATAAATAACAGTTCCGAAATCACAAGCTGTAGTCCAACCACAATCTCACCTCATTTTTCTAAAAGGATAACAATTATACCGGAGTTCTATAAGCTATGTGATAAAGTGATGCCCAGATGAGCCTAATATGTCCGTTTACCTAAATATAATACCTAAAATTATATTGTTACCCGCCTCTGTACATATTCAATCTTAAAGAGAACCCAAAAAAGTAAATTCTCAACGTTTAGAAGTAAGACATGACTTTACCATCTAAACCAGAAGGGCTTAGTTTATTAGTTGGATTTACAATAATTTATTTTTATAACCGTAATTCTAATTATTAATTATTGCCCTACGAAATAAAATGAAATGCCCTGATAATGAAATGAAAAAACCACCCACATAACTTGACAATTACAATTTACTAAATTTTACCCAAATAAGAATGGTTCCCCTTTCAAACACATAATTAATTACAAAATGATACCTGTAATAATACCATGCTGCAATAACTCCTCTCCTCCGGCTGTATACATGACTACTATACAAAGGACACTAGGTAGGAATGTGCGTCGAAAACGCTGATCTCGAAATGCGTTCTAGAACGGCGTTTCCGCGATTCAAACCGATAATCGTAGCGTCTAAAAGAAGATACAATTATTACTAAAATCTACGTACGGGGATCCACACAACAAAGAAAAAGATATCGTCGATAAAAGTAAAACGACAATCGCAATACTTTTAGTCGTTTTTCAAAAGTTTTATACGATTGGATCAGAGGTACTAAATAACTCGCTATTTCTTTATCCGGCGTCAACACCATAGGCAACGGTTTACCAAGATAAGTCACGCAAAGAATCCAATAACTCGGAAATACAATCCTACAAAACAGAAGAGAGAAAAATTAAGCTCTTTTAAAACGTCCGTCTGTTTGGTCACCTGATAGGTAACACATAACTACCTCTCGATCTACAAATATAGAAAGATGTATAGCGCAACAGAAGTTTCATACAGAAAATAATTTATCTGCTCCCTCGATATATTTTACTGCGTTTTCCAAATATAACAAAAAAAGATGTCACCTTATAGTTAAACGAGATAAACCAATCAATATACTTGAAGAGTATATAAAAGGGAGTCACCTTAAAGATAACTGAATCTTACACTTTTTTTGTCAACTGGACGTGAGAAAGGCAGGAAGAATTCTAACCCCGTTCTTACTTTTGAACCCCGTATTTATACTTTCATTTTCCCATTTAGTCAATGCATTAGACAAAGAAAGATTGAGTAACGGGCCTACTCAACTTTCACGTAACATAATACCCAGAAAAACAGCCCGAACAATAGAGAGTTTTAGCAAATGTACGTAAGATTTCCGCTAACGTTACGTTAAACTTAGATTGTGATCTTTTTCATAAACATTGAACAGAGTAGATTACAGTCTATCCCTAAGGTAACGTTAGCGGATGGTTAGCGGCTGTTTGCTAAAACTCCCTATTATACCCCTGAGTTCGAGTTTGCCTTTCAACAATTTACACCCGATGAACAAAAGATGTGCAAAATAGAAAGCGATTGATATTTCCTTGAAAAACGCAACAAACTATTTAAAGAGAAGAATAAAAAAATATCAGACCCAGGGGCATCGGGTTTTACTATGTATATACTTTTTAAGAATATGCATATGCTGAGAATATACTTTTTTCTACACCCACATGGATATTAGCTTATCTACGCTCATATTACAAAACGACAAAGTATGCTATTGCCTTCAACTGCACGAATATATTTCATATCCATTCCAGGTAGTGAGAAACTGCAAAAAAATTAAATCCACCAATCACAGTGACAATTCTGTCAAACTAATTGTCGGTATATTTTTCAGTTATTGAGATTAATCATTCATCAAAATGAGTTATTCTTGTGTAGAATCGATGAATAATAGAATTTATATTCTTATTTAGTCTATAATTATAAATAATTTGTTAATTTATATAAAACTGCATGAAATCAATTTAATTACGAGTATTAAAGCAAACAAAATAAACGCGCAGATGGTCCTGTGGTCAGGGTTCTTGCCTTCCATACGGAAGACTCGAGTTTAAATCTCAGATGGAGAAAAATTAAATGAAAGTTTTTGCTTTTTTTTTCTTGTTTATTTTATTTTATAAATCACTAAAAGTCATAAATTATTTTTAAATCAATTATTTTATTCTAAACCTAAAATAATTTTTAATATTTGTATTTTCGTTACTGGGTAGTAGTGTATTGGACACTCGAGTACACTTTGACCTTTGTACCCAAGCACTGCGAAGGCGCGGTATATGAGAGCCTGTCATATGTCAGCTGTCATCCGTCATGTCATCTGTCATGTCAGCTGTCATGTCAGTAGTCATCTGGCATGTCAGCTCTCATGTCAGTAGTCATCTGGCTTGTCAAACCTAAGCCATATTCGAGCGGTCTACTGGTTTAAATATATTTCATGCGGTTCGAAAACGGTTTGAACTATTCCCATTCGAGTGACCAAACAATGACGTCACGTTGAAATAGGTTTAAACCAGCTGCATCTGTTTTTGAAACGTTTCATTGAGAACGGTTCAAGGAAATAGAAATTGTAGCAAGGATCATGCATTAAAATTAATTATCAAAAAATATTTTTGTATTACGGTTATAAGAAAAAATAGAAACTGCCTAATTATGAAGGTTACTAATTTTTAGTAATTTTTGAATACTTGACTTTGTAATTCTAAATAACTGGTTAAAGTCGGATTCCAAATACAACGATCTATTTTTCATAAAACTCTGGTATTATATGAGCTTTTTTTGAGGCAACAAATTATCTGTTGCTAGAGATTTACACAGTCACAAATTCTTAACTGTTAGTGACATCACTGTTTTAAAATCATCTATTTAAGCGCTTTCAAAATCTATGACGTAGTATTAAAACTGGTTCTAAAAGTTCTGCTACCTCAGGATGGCGCGACGGAAGAATTGAGACGCCACCTGTCTGTGGTACGACTCGGCTTGCGACGCGGCTAAGCGATCCAAGACGGCTGCGATCCTGCGCACTGTGACCTTCACCTGATTTGAACGGGGAAAACGGGGGAGTGTGGAAACCGGCGTAATGGCGCCTGGCGATATGAAGAATATATCGTTGTAAGATGGCGTAGGAATAGCAGCAAAGTCAGTGGTGCGACACGCCTAAGTCAGCTGTTTGCGTCTCGGTTAAGCAATCTAAGATATCCATCTTCCAAAAGTCACCATGAGATAGCAGCACATATCAACAGTCATTTGCCAAAAGTCCATATCCTCATTGAATAGATCAAAAAGAAAAAGATGGAGGAGTGGGTGGAAATGTCTTAACTTTCAATGAATAGAATCAAACAGAAAAAATGGGGGAGTGGTGGGGAAATGTCTTAACTTCCATTGAATAGAATCAAACAGAAAAAATGGGGGAGTGGGGGGTAATTACATGCTTTGAAGAGAAAAATTAGCAAAGCGGTCAAAAGGACCTAAGTCTCGGCGGCATGTCATCAGGAGTTAGATATTAACATGACTTACCAATGCGATGGATGCAAACACATTTCGAGGTTTAATAGTCAAAATAAAAATCAAAAAACAGTTGTTTAAAAAATAAAAGAAGTATCCAAAGTGGTAATGTCTAATAATTAGCAAGTTTTTATTACTAAGAACTCTTAAAAGTAGTAATCATAAAATTCGGGATATCTAAACACGATTGAACCGTGCATTTCACCATAATTAAGGCACCAGTTTTACGGACTTTTTATTGGAACAGAATGTCGAAAATTGCCAGTTTTGTTTAGGAAATTTTATTAAACGCGAAGCGTAACCTTTCCGTTTATAATTAGCTAGTGTATGAATGTAATTTATCATTCTAGGTCTTGTATGAATGCCTAAAGGGTCGTAAGTCATTGTCGAAAAAAGTACAAAAGACACTGGTACATTATCTTTAAAATAAATTAAACAAAATATGTCTTGATCTGTTCACCACTGATTGAGATTAGGTATTTCACAAATTTTCTTCACGGCTTTGTTGTTCCAAAAAACTTTTATATTTTTACCTGTATTATTACTATTACTTCTTTTAAGCCACCAAAGCAAAGACAGAGGTACGAGTACACAGCCAACAACGATTAGTAATAATATAACCATGATACTAAAAATAAAAAGCATTATTATTTGTGTAAATGCGACTTACATGTTTTACAAAATAACATAAAACGCAGTGCAATTAACATACAGGCTTTAATAAAAATATATTTTTACCTAATTATTCATAATCAAAACAATTAACATACAGGC